GTGCCATGGTCTAAGCTAAAAATCGTTACTGTTCCACTAAAGAAAAAAAGTCACCTGCATTTTGGATGGCCTGACGTTGAGTAAATTTACAGCAAATGTACATTTTTGGGTGAACTATCCCTTTAAGATGGCAGAATACCCTGTGAATCCACTTTGCATTGCACTTGCAATGGAACGCATCTTTGAGATCTTCATTGTTGCTCTTTGGTTCCTGAACAGCTTCCAGTAATTTTTCTAGTGAACTTGAAGACCTCGATTAGCAGATTCCGATGTGTTTTATTCGAGTGGAAGTGCAGGAAGGATGGTGGAATATCCTAGTCTGACCTTACAATAAATCTTTTAACAGTATGTGTTCATTTTAAACCATTTTCATTGTGGATATTTCCACAAAGAGGTTTTCTCAGGTCATTCCTCCGAGGATGTTTCAGAAATTCTGTCTCCATAAGTATGTATACACATACTCACAGAATGAAATAGGTAACATAAATTATGTAAAAACATTTTTTAAAAATTCAATATCAAACTGAGTGGATAAATTATTTTAGTCAGTGATGAGTTGCTGAAATCCATAAATAATGTAGGTGTGTCAAATAATGGCCCACAAAATATATAATTTAACTGATTTTTTAAAAATTAATAAATTATGTTATTTTTGTTTTCTTTACACACAAAAAGTATTCTCTTAGCTTTGCAAAACTGAAGTTGAACCACTGATGTCACATGGACTGTTTTATCGATGTCCTTGTTTCTGGGACTGACAACATTTCAGTTGTGTTGCTGTCTGTGGGAGGGTCAGAAAGCTCTCAGATTTCATCAAAAATATCTTAATTTTTGTTCCAAAGATGAATGAAGGTCTAATGGGTTTGGAACGACATGAGGGTGCATGAGTAATTAATGACAGAATTTTCATTTTTGGGTGAACTATAACCCTTTAAATATAAATATTAATAAATATTACAGCAAAAACAAACAAAAAAAACTATTAAATCTATATAAACACATCAGGAATTTCTCATAAAAGATTCTCATTCAGTGTATAGTTCCCTTCTGAAATGCTTGCTTTGCATTTGCCCTTGAAGATGTGGTATATTTAACTTAGACTGCAGACAAATAATCTCACTGAGACTCTTAGCATTCACAATTAGGATTAATGACAAAATGTGCATGCACATTCACTGGACAATAATGCCTGAAAATTAGCAATTAACAAATGATGTTTTCAGGGCAAGACAGCAAACAAAAATCAGCAAAACATCCCGAATCCTACCAAAAATGAAACAGAACATGCTCAGTAATAAATAATGCTTGATCTCAGACACAGTTGCTCAAAGTCAAACCACCTGAGGCCACATAAGTGCCGTCATGCATCTCTATTCTCTCCTGGAACACAAATTAAACATCATCAGTCTGGGTCAAGAAGAGTTCACAAGACAGAAGTCTGAGAAATAAAACTTTTCCTGGAGCATTTAAACAGAAGCTTGTTTAAAATAGATTTCCTCTTGAAGACACTTCCCTGATAACGCCAAAGAAAGATGTCCATTAGTGCTAATCTATGGCATTTGAGGAGCTCCACAAACGGTTGGCCGTGTCCGTTGGTGGTTTCAATATGATTTCCATATCAATTTCTCTGTACGGCATAACAGCGACACATGCCTGGCCTGCTTTGAGTCTGGTGGATATCAGGTACGAGGACAGGTGTTGCTTTACATACCTCAGTCAACTCGCTGAGAAAATGCCTGCCTCATTTGTGTAGGAAGCTCGACTCAGGACACAAACCTTAGATTTGTGCCAAAATTTGAGCAGTATTGGTTTGGAACATTACTTAAAGGGTTAGTTCACCCAAAAATGAAAATCAGCCTGTGTTTTACTCACCCTCGAAGCATCCTAGGTGTATATGACTTTCTTCTTTCAGACGAATCCAGTCGGAGTTATATTAAAAATTGTCCTGGCTATTCCAATCTCTATCATTGCAGTCAGCGGGTGTTGCAGTTGAACAGTCCACAAGTCGTCAAATAAAGCGCGTGCATTCATAATAAAACGTGCCGCAGACAGTTCTGGGGGATGAATAAATGCCCCCTGTAGCGAATCCATGTGTTTTTGTAAGAAAAATATCCATATTTCAAATGTAATAAACACTTTTCTCTCACTTTTGTTATCTGTCATCCACTGAAGCAATTCCGGCAGATGACGTAGCACGTCGGTGTTGCGTGATTAGTGACGAATGCGGAGAGAGAACAAAACAAAACGCCGGTCACAAATTAGAAGTACAAACCGAAGATTTGCAAAGAAAAATGTCGGAGGATTTCGATATAAACCAAGAGGAGACTGGTTTTCCTTTGCTAAAGTAAGGAAACTTTGCTTCCTTTGCTCCTATAAACAAACTCGCGGGACTAGCATACCTCAGAGGCGCGCGCTGCGCATACGTGCTACGTCATCCGCCGGAACTGCTTCAGTGTATGACAGTCAGCGGAAGTGAGAGAAAAGTGTTTATTACGTTTGAAATATGGATATTTTTCTTTTAAAAATACATGGATTCGCTACAGGAGGCCTTTATTCATTCCCCGGAGCCGTCTGCGGCACGTTTTATTATGGATGCGCGCGCTTTATTTGACGACTTGTGGACTGTTCAACTGCAACACCCGCTGACTGCAATGATAGAGATTGGAATAGCCAGGATGCGGCACGTTTTATTATGGATGCGCGCGCTTTATTTGACGACTTGTGGACTGTTCAACTGCAACACCCGCTGACTGCAATCATAGAGCTTGGAATAGCCAGGACAATTTTTAATATAACTCCGACTGGATTCGTCTGAAAGAAGAAAGTCATATACACCTAGGATGCTTCGAGGGTGAGTAAAACACAGGCTAATTTTCATTTTTGGGTGAACTGACCCTTTAATAGGATTTTAATGGATATAAAATAGTCCATATTAGGCAATGTTACACTTATTTCAAATGCTGCTAATTTAGACATTTTTTAGACCTTTTTTCTCAGCGTTTAAGTGATACTTACATTGTTTAAAGGTGAAGTGTGTAGTTTTCTCAACGTTAAATTACTTGCTTCCAACTCAATGTGCAGATACAGAACCATTTGTAGGTTTTTTTGTTTTCCAGAAGTTAACACCAATGGCGTGAGTTTGGGGGCGTGGCTACTGGTTTCTCGACCAATGAAAGACGGGGGAGAGTTCGGGAAACCTGTGAGCAACAATCCTTATTTTTGCAGTTCCATTTCGTTATGCTAGTGGAGCAGAAAGCGCACACTTCAGCTTTAATGATTTTTGTTGCGTTTGCAGGAAGTCGGTTCTGCTCTTGGCTGTGGTGTGGACACTTTGATGCTGTAGTGTTTCTACCTTTTTTTTATTTTTTTTTGAGCATATCAGTAGGTTGTTGCATCAGTTCAGGGCTACAAACGCTTGGTCCCAAACACAAAGGCAGGTTTCAGCGAGCGTCTCATAAAGGTGTTCTTTGTCTTTTGCTCGAGCTCGTTAACTCTGGCCCTTGTGAAGGAGTGTCAGGTTCTTCTGACTTATAAACAATTCATTATGAGTGCCACCATTAGTCACCTGCTGACTGAAGAGAACGTGCTGGCTGTAAAAACTCTTAAATATCAGTTCCACTGTCCAGAGAAAGCAGGGACTGATGAGGAGATTTCTTGAAGAGAGGCTGCCACAAAAGTGATGAAAGTCCTTGGAAAGCAGCGACAGCAGACATGTGACCCACAAAACAAACAACAGTAAGTTTCTACTGCCTCTACATGGTCATACAAAGACACTGCATTTAATAAACATTTTTAAACTGTTAAATAAGAAATCATGACTCAAAAATATTAGCCTAATATTTCTTATTTAATAGTAATTACTAATTTTTAATATACAATACTAAAATATTAGTATTACTAAATATAGGACTGTTTAAAATGACTAATCATGGTAAATATAATCATTTGGAAAACATAGGCTATAGGCCTCGTGAATATTCATAAAACTTGAGCAGAAGGAATAAAGATAATTTACATGAGAATTCAGATTGCAGAAATTAATTCTGCAGGTCAAGATACCCATATACACCTGAAAATGAAAATTGTCATTCACTCGTCCTTTTTGACTTTCGTTCTTCTTTGAAACATAAAAGAATTAGTTATTCTAATAAATTTCTCAGTGATTGCGTGTGTGTCAGTGGGCCTTCAGTCAATTTTCTTTTTTAGCTGAGCTATATTTGTTAGTCGGTTTAACGCATAGTATTTTTTGAGTAATGTTTTAAATAATATAAATGTTAATCAGCTTTTTTTTTGTAATTATCAGTATCACTGAGATACTATTGTGGTTTTTAATAACGATTTAAATTAGATTTTAAAAATTAAATTAAGATTTTAAAATATGGCAATATAGTTTTTATTAATTTTATTTCAGTTTGTTTTTTTTAGTACATCCTAAATGAACATAAAAAAAGTGTTACCTTGGCAACTGTCTGAAATCAAATGTTTATGTATATTTTATTTCATTTCAGTGCATATTTAGTTATGGTTTAACTATAATAACCCTGATTTTAATGTTGAATGATATCCCGTACAAATTAAAAGGAACACATTTCTGATTTGGTGTTTGCAAAGGAAGGTTGGGAAACATTGTGACTTTGGTTTCTAAGTCCTACAGGATACATACAAAAACAACACAATACCATGCAAAATCACCTTTATAACAGAATGACATTTCCACTGTGAACTGAACAAAAGCTCCAGTGTCAAATAAAGCAATATAATTACATTCTGTGAATTCACAGTCCAGTCAGAGCACTTTATTTGCTACAGAAATCGTTTTATCGGTCACATAATACTCAGATATGATTTTCTCCTATGATTTTTAATAAATCTGTGAACAGGATGTGTTGGACCTTTGTGGCTCTGTGATGTCCGGAAGACATGGTTCTTTTGTCAGGATTGGTGTAGTGTTTGGTATTGCATCAATTAAAGCATTTTTAAATCAGTAATTAAAAAAAAAAATCAATGAAATAAGTCAAATCATGCAACTCGATACACAATTACAAACCACTCAAGTGCTAAAACACTGTAAAATGTGAATATTTGATAAATACTGAAAATACAACATCATTCAGTACAACTGTTAGAGACTTTCACAAATCTCTTTTTTGGGCAATCAAAAAATACAATATTTAACAGAAATATAGCCAGACATGAATCATATATTTGATCAAATATGCTACATTTGATTGGTTTAACGGAAAATAATAATCGTTACAAAACAAATACATGACTTGCACAAGCCCTGCTACGTTAATACTACTAAGACATTCTCCTAAATACTGCTATATACATTTCATAGACTTTTAGAGTGAATTCACAAGTTGTCCATTTTTTTTTTTTTTAGAACAAGTACAAAAATAACACTTCATGGACCGTTCTGTTGTTTAAAACATTATGCATCTCGCAGACACAGAACAGGACACATGGCACTAACTCATTGCAGAACACTGAGACATGCTCCATAAATCAAACTCTGTATTTGATAAAGGCATGGAAGTTGTCATATGTTCAGTATCAGCAATACCAATAAGCTGGGCTTCACTGCTCTTCTGCTTTGAACAAGGCTTTACTGGCTCATCCTTGTCATCAAGGCACACACTTTCACTTTTCCTTGGCAACCAGGTGTTTGTTTAGCAGCTCGAACTTAGGCAGTGCAAACATGTGATACATGCATGTAATACCATCCAGCATGAACGAGTCGATATGGTGACAAACAGAGAACGGCGTGGAACCAGTGAAACGAGGAACGGAGGAGGATCTTTATGAGTGTTTTATAGTGTATTTGCCTTTCTGGAGCTGAGAGATGTAAAGCTTTGATTTGCTGCCATCCAGACGTTTGTACCAAACCTCATCGTGGTTAATAGTGGTTATCGTGGCACTGGGGGAAATTAAAAAAGCAAAGCATTTCACATGAAAGAGTGTAAAGTAAGTTCAAGTTTGATGTCAAGTGTCCTAAAATTATTAAACTTTTTGATCTGTAAACTGCCATCGCGCTCTCCGTCACGTCTCATTTCCATCATAACCAAATATAACCTTCTTTAGATTAACTGAACTGTTCTTTAAAACATCTGACATCATGGTAACTAGACTATAAAGTGATTATTTTAAAAAATGCTTTCCAGTGTTTGTTACACACATTACACACTACTATATTAATATCAAGAACAATGTCAATTACAAGCAGCTCAGAAAAAAATGAAATACCATGTAGTTAATTAGAATTACTTTGTAATTATTTGTGTAAACATGGCAACCTGAACTCTGTAAAATGAGACAAAACAGCTCAAATTTGTGTAAAAAAAAAAGAAAAAAAAGAAGAAAGAATTGAAAATGTTTTTAAAAGTCCTTATGTAAAGTGAAAAGTATACTTTTTCGTCATAAAGGAGAATTTTTTTAACAATCGCATGGGAGGGAAAAGCCCCAAAATAGACATTCTGGCAAATGTAACAATTGAACACTCTTTAAAAATGTCCAAATAAGTATTATAATGATATAAACTATATGTAATCATAGTAAATAATTCATGTAATAAGGTTTTTTCATGTTTTTGAAAGAAGCCTCGTATACTCACCAAGGCTTTATTAATTTAGTAAAAAATACAGTAAACAGTAATATTGTGAAATATTACAATATTATGTTTTTGTATTTTAAAATGCATCTTATTGCTGTTATAGTGAAGCTGAATTTTCAGCATCATTACTCCAGTCTTCAGTGTCACATGATCCTTCAGAAATCATAATAATATGATGATTTGTTGCTCAAGAAACATTTCTTCTTATTATTATTATCATCAATGTTGGAAGCATAAAGCTGGCCAACAGTTGGCCAGCTTTATATATTTTTTTTTGTGGAGAAAGTAAAAGATGATGGGAAAAAATTTATGGAAAACAACTTAATGTGTCTTTGATGAATAAAAGTAGTCATTTTAAAATAATCTAGATTTCTTTTTTTTTCAGAGCAATTTAAAAGATAAATTACTCTTGGGGACAGAAAAGTTGCTGAATCACCCATGGTGTGTGCGATATTGGCAAAAAAAAAATTCTCGATATTTTCTGGTATTTTATCGATAACGATAATTAGACGATATTTTGCTGAGTGCGTTATTGTACTGGTACCTTAAGGACTGCCGTGGACAGCTGACTTATGAAGTTTTTGATATTCTTCATGTTCTGTGCAGTGGTCAGTTCACACTGATAGAAATAAATCTTTTCCAATAAGTTTTAACTGATTTTTACATTTTATGGGCATTTTGACCTTTATAAAGCCATTTTTTTCTAAAAGTGTCCATTATCATTTGAATACTGATATTTGAAATGATTTAAATAATAAAAGATACTCCGAATGTGAAATTAAATCCGCCAGTAGGTGGCAGCAAGTCACTGTTAATAAGTGAGTCATTGCGATTGAACCGAAATTATTTAAACGGTTGATTCATTCAGGAACGAAACACCGTCATGTTGCTCTAAGACGCAAAACAGCGTTGTG